AGAGTATAAATCTTATTACGCCTTAATTATGGTAAGATCGTTAGTAACTACAGTTAGACCTGATGTAAAAAGATCCTGAACGATGAAGTGTGGGGAATTTAGGGAGACAAGGTCCCCGCAATAATATGTTAGGTCACTAAATTTTCAAAAAAAAAAAAAAAAAAAAAAAAAAAAACCGAAATAACGAGTTTCCACAGGAGATTGACCCCCTAACATCTGAATCTGGTGGTCTTGAAGCCCCCTCAAGTACACCCTGTATGTTAGAAGTCCTTGATCTGAGTCTGTCAATTAGGGTTAAAAATAAATAAATTATATGATGGACCAGTAGAGAAGGTACTCGATCATCACAAAAATTTCACATAGAACACGATTCGCGCGAAGAGAATCACTGAAATCAAGTCTTAAATAAGATATTCAAGTTTTTTGTTTACATTGCAATTACGGGAATTTCGAACGCGCCCCACTCATAAGAAAAACAAGAGCTCTCTTGAATCAAATCGCACACTACAACGGTTTTGGCTTGCTTTTTCATCCAGCAACGTTCCTTGTTCCATCCTCACCTGGCGTTGTTCAAAGTATTAACCACGTGCAAAAGCTGAAACAAAGCACGGAAATTGAGGTTACCATATTTTCATACCACAGAGACTTTAACTGTAACGTTTGAAGCGCGATTTGACTTATACGTTGTCTTTTATTTTTTCATGAGCGGGAGGTCTGAATTTATGCATGGTGAAAAGTTAAAAATATTAGTCCAAAGTTACTTTCAGTAATTTTCGTCGCGTAAATCATATTCTGCGTGAAATTTTTGCACGGAAATATGTCAGTGGCGAGGCGTGAATGATCTATTATCGAGATTTCCCCATTTGAAGCCATGGTAAAGAATCGATTATTAAAGTGTTTGTTGCAAGCACCTTGTTGAGTGTTTATCGATCTTTTTCCATTTGTTTAAATAGCAGATCAATCGATGTATCGTAAAGCACGTCGCGCTACTGAAACATGTATCAGAATACATAAATGCCCACTTTGTCTGGTGGTCCACTTCTACATAGAATGCGCTCAGAGTATTCTTTATTTATTTCCTACTTTGAAAGCGTAACAGCCTCGAAATCCGAAACTGAATAACTGTTTATTTTTTACTAAATTACAGGCAACCTCGCACGTCTGAAGGAGGAGAGCCGGTAAGACTAAAATATATTTAATAGCGCTTTATAAATAATTAATTTTCATCTTCCCATAACCCGAGCCCCTCGCCCACCCCCTCGAGTTCCCGCCTCTCCGAGAGAGTCGTTCAGAGATGAAATTTAATTGACTTTGCCGGCAATTAACGACGCGAAATGCTAAATGAAATTAGCTTTTCCATTTTCATCTGCTCCGCAGCCGACTTTTCCGGGGTCCCGTCCGCGTCCGGGATCGGGAAAGCTCTCAAAATTTACTTTTATCTTTCTGTTTGTCTTCCGTTTCATTTAGTTCATTTGTCTCCGTCCGTCGTAAACTGTTTAAGTTTTATGAGACTTTTCTGCGGCCATCCTTGTTCCTTGTCGCAATGTTTTGTCTCTCGGAGAATTTTGAAAATCCGCCTCGCCATGAATGGTCCTCCCATCTTTCGATCAGAACTCCTCTGCTGTGAAGATATTGACAGTTTCTTATACATTGGGGTTGTAGCATTTCTCATGTTTTTTGCGTTATGATAAAATAAACCATTCCGTGAAAGAAAATCTTATTTGCCGCTAAGAATTTCTTTCTCCCGAATCAAGAATGATACTGCTTAATTTAGGCCACTTATTTGCATACCCAACCTAAGCATTTTTTCCTTGTTTCTAGAAAAATTCTACTTGAATCAAGGTACAAAGAAATATTGGCAGCAAATTCAGGAATCATCATGCTTCAGCTAAAAATATTTCCCCAGTGTTATTTCTGGCTAATTTAAGAAAAAACTTATGTGCATGTTGAAGTCCACTACTCTTTTCTTGCGCACGATGGCAGAAGTAGCCTAGAGATATCTAATCAGGGTGGCATGAAACATAAGGAAGAAATGAGCGATTGGAAATTTCAGTGAAATATTTCATGAAATTTCACGCGAGGCTGTGAAATATTTCATATTTTTCAGGGGCAAAAGTATGCAACCCGCACTCAAACACAGAGAGTTGAAGAAAGTCACAATTTGTACATTTTACGAAACAAGAAAAGGAGCCGATATTTTTCAATATCTTTCAAAAAGTTCTGAAATTTCATGAAATATTTCTCGAGAAATTTCAAGATGTTATTTTTCATGAAATTTTGCCACCCTGTATCGGACTATAACCTGATGCTGAGCATATCCTCTTCTCCTCCCCAGCCAGTCCTGTTTACGCTTCGACCGCAACCCTAGATGACACTCACGAGTGCCTGATCACTCTTTTGTCGCTGATATCATTAAACTGATTTTTGCAATGGTTTCTGTTGGCCTTCACCGACTCACCGCCCTTATTGTGACCAGACGCTCTGACACGTCCGCCCTTTGCGCAAGGGATCCTCAAACGACCTTCCCGAATAAGCTCATCTTCCATCATTCTACCGACCAACGAAACCCACTACTCGCCGTAGGGGGTCCTCTTGCGGCATCGTTTTGATCAAAATTACACGCTTTGTCAGAAGATCAGCTGTTAGGGCGTTAATTCTTTCGCAATAAAGCAAGTAAGATTCGGCCATCAGATATAGGGTTACCTTATCGAATTTTAATAAGCTTCCGGAAACATACTGACATGAGGCGGAGCCACACGAATCACTATACTGCCGTCCGTGTCAATGTAAAAACACCGTATGAGCATTCGAATGTTGCCAAATTCCTCTCAAAAAATATTTATCGTTGAAGAAAGTTATGAATATTTTTCCATGAAATTTTCTGAATATTTAGGTTAAATTGCGAACAAAATCCTGTGATAACTTTGATCATAAATGTCGACAAACTTTACTAAAAATTCGTGATTTTTTGTAGAATATTTGGCAACACCTAATTGTTCATACGGTGTTTTTACTTAGCACGGCAGTATGGGCATCAGCTTAAAGTGTAATAAGAGCTATTGTCCAAGATGCCTAGTTCTCTTCAAACGTCCATTAACGGATACACCCCCCAGCCCCTTCGTCATTTCTTTTAAAAGAATCGACACATTTTTTCCTTGACGTATTGGAAGTTTGCACACAGGATTCATGCCCTTCATAGTTCTTTTTTTTAACTCATTTGCACCCACTTTTGGCATCAATTCGTCAAACTTGGAAACGTGCTACCCATACTTTACGTAGTATCAAGCTTAGTGAACCTTCAAATTGTTCATGATTGTCAATTCCAAAAATTACGTACGTGTTACAGATCACGATTACACGATGATCCGTTCACTTCAGACAGCATACTCTGAGCCAAAAAATTGTATGGCGCTCAGAAAGTTTGACGACCTAGTCTGAAAATCGAAGATTATTTATCTATAATTCATGCATAATTGACAAATTTATATTTTTCATCAAATTTCTATCATAAGGGATGACAAAATGAAATCTGATCAGAATGATCGATTTTAAGAAAGTTGCATTTACACCGGGTATTTTTTCTCTCTCTCTTCGCTTTTATTTTTTTCTGCAAAAATTAAATTATGAAATTTGATCGCAGGTCATGATAAAATTTGAAAAGTTTACGGATGTTTGATAATATTTGATCAAAGTAATCTTTGGAAGCTCTATTTCAAACGAGATATCATAAGTCAAAGTATCCAATTTTTTGACATGTACAGGCGCAAAGTGTGCAAAGAGAATTATTTGAGCCTGTACAGTCTTCAGACTCAAAAAGTTCTCAGTAATGTGTGGAAATGAATGAAAGAGGAAACAAACAATCAATAAAAAACAGATGACCTATGTGACCCTCCGAACGCTTCTTCGAAAATACCCTGCATTCTTGTTTCACGCATGTATTTTGGGCACAAAAGGCTGCCCAAAGGTTCAATGTGCTATGAAATTGAGCGTTCTCGCACCCGGTGCAATCTGCCGAAAGTGGGTGACGAGTGACGACCCTACCACTTAAATAAGTGTTATACGGTATTACTTCCTCCATGCTACCATACGCTCTGGCTTGTTACGGGGTTGTTTTGTGTTTTTACCCCAAATGATGTTTTTCCTCGCTATGATGAGGGGTGCCAGTTCATTATTATTTACTTTTTTTCTCCCTTTATTTTGATGCACAGTATGCGTCAACACATGGAGGATACAAAAAATTCACTTTCGAGTGGAGTAGCATGAAGTAGCAACTGTAATTTGATAATGTTATTCTCACTTTTTTGTGAGTGGATTTACTGCAACTACTATCCCTACCCCTGTTTCTGTTCGTTTACACTCTCCTTTATACATTCATAAATGTCAACATGAAAATAACGCTTGAAACGTTACGGCCGTGGCGAATCAACTTTAACAATTACATAATTTTAACAGTACCTTTAATCTTAAGAAAAATTACTGTAAATTTAATGCGCTTTAATGCAAATGTTCAAAAATAAAAACTAGAAGAAACAATTAGTCTACATAGGACCCTCATTATTTTTCTCATTTATACGTTTGGAAAGGTTAGGATATTTAGATTCAAGTCGAAACCGATAATTGAGTTTTCAGTTTCAGCATACTGTGTAAATACACGAATCAATAGGTGCGGTGAGTGACAATGACTTCCAATGCTCTCCTCATCCTCTCTCTTCTGCACAGAGAAAAAAGACGAGGTAATATAAATCAGTTGTTTTCAAAAGGGAGCAGGTCCATTTCTCGATGAGTCTTAGTTAGCATGTGATTTTATGCAAGCCAAGGCTCATGCAAAAATGGACTTGTTCTTTTCTGAAAACAACTGATTAATATGTATACTAGTGTAGCACTAACGACATTTTTCCGGTCAGAGAACCGCCGACCACGGCAATAGAATGTTAGTCACACTCTGAGTATCTTCCCACTCAGTCGACGCGAACCTTGTAACACAATCCTGCTGATCACAGGTTTTACTAAGTGTATCCCACGACGTAGTATGGGTGAACTATCCATAGTCTGACGCAACCTTTCTACGATTTAGCCATCAACCCAGAACCATAGTGACGCTACTGTGCAACACAGAGCATGTATTGAGCACGATGTTCACCAACCCGTGCCCATGGATGCTCAAATAACCGTCACAGAACGGGGTATCTTCAGTTCATTTTTCCGAGTCGGTCGTCTTGAGGTAGACCCCAAGTTTTGCGATAAAAGATGAGTCTGCGGTAGTTGAACAGTTTTTATGTGTCGCGAATAGTAAAATTAACTTTGTAGTTGTGATGGTTAAACAACCGATACTACATGGTATCCTAGTTAATCTCGAAAGAAAATTTGTGCTCGCCAAAGACGCGTTGTAGTGCGCAATACGTGAATCTGGATATTTATAGTTCTTTAGCACCGTCAGGATTGGAGTCTACTAGCCATTGGATATAACAGGTATTTTAAAGTATATAACTTGTTTAGAAATGTAAAATGTATATTTAATAAAGGGAGATCAGGCAATGCTCAAATGTCCGTATGACATTTTTACTGAGCATGGCTGAGCAGCGATTTAGGAATAGGAGGAGGGGAGGGGGAGGAATATAGGAGACGAACGAGGAATGGCGAGTGTTGAGCTCAGCGGAAACTGACCGTTGGATGTTAGGAAGGTGAACGTTGGCGATGATGATTGCCTCGGGTTGTCATTAACGTCCTGAATTCAGGAAGGCAGTTTGCCGGCTTGTGCGACCCACCCCTGAATTTCATATCCCTGATGGCTGTTGAGCATTTAGAGAGGTATAATAACAATGATATCCTTGCATACTTCCCGGAATTTTCGGGATTTTCTGTCTCCACATTATAATCATTAGCGCACAGCACGTTGCTGAAGAGCCGATGTCTACAGATTATAACGAACCCTTGATTCAGGTGCAGAGCCAAAATATTTATTTTGAGTGAGGAGGATCAAAATTTCTAAAAAAAATTACATATTTTTTAGGGAAAAAGAGGAGCATATTAAAGCAGTCTCGAAAATGTATGGAATCCTAAAAAAAAGCTCCATCCAGACTACTCGGGATTTGTCGAATTTTCGCTACTCGGCAAGTAAAACTTGCCAAATGCCGAGCACTTTGGAGCTCTGGTTAGATTGGCTTCAGTTTCACTAAAAGAAGAAAATAATGTTAGTGCTACCGACAGTTGACCCCTGTTTGATAAGTTGGCGCTGGGAACCAGTTATGATCACACCACCTACTATACTTGTTATAATGCACCCTTTTACTTTGTGCTCAACACCAAATTGATGGGCTGCGCCAGGTGGTTTAGCTGGATCAAAATTAGGTATACGATGGTACATAACGTCAAATTTTCTCTTTCAGAGTAAATATTTCCGAGTACTTGAACTAAATAACCAAGAAAAGTCTCCCAACATCGTGTTTCATTACCTTAAGAACAAGGAATTTGATTCCTGTTGATGTCAGTCAAAAAAAGAGCGTCAGAGGTGGCCAAGATCTTATGAGCATCATCATTCCTTATACAAGACTAATGGATTACAGTATTTTATAACACATCGCATACTAGAGAGGCTTAAGTAATACTTACATTTTCTGCTACAATTTTACTTATGGCCACAAGTTAGATCAAATCAAAAATTCAAAACACATGGTGGACCACAAATTACAATTTCCTCAGTGATGCGATTTTTCCTCGCGCTCTTCTCTTAGGGACAAGAGCTATCGAAAGAGTAAGGAAGGCAAAGCCTCAACAAGGTCTCTTTGGCAACAGTGGGGTAACTATGGACAGTGCGGGATGCGCGAAGGATTGTGGGAGAACCCGCGGGAAAGGGGGAGGGGGGTTGAAAATGTCCCGGGACTTATAAAACTCTTTGAAACAATGGGCCTTGTAAGTCAATCAATATTAACTACCCTCTCCGGAAACTTGTAATTTTATAACCCTCCAGGAGTATATTTGCCCTAGCGTTGCAGAATTAGAGTCCAATTTGGATGGGCTCTCGATCGATTTTGAAACCGAACTTACAGCAGATTGTCGTGCCATTGTCGGTATGCGGTGAGCTTCATTCGAAAGAGAAGCTGGTAAGAATCGAAATAGAGACTGGTGTTTTGGAAAAATGGTTAAAAGAGGTAAATTATTATTTTAGTATTTAATACACACTAGAAGGCATTTTTTTTTTTTTTTAAATGGATTACAAAGAAAAACTATTGATGCCACTTAAAACGATTTTTGATGATGAAAATTTGTTAGGTGTGAAAAAAAACTGCCAAAATGTGTCTTTGGCTATACGCAGTCACTTTTTGTTCTTCCTTGTTTTTCTTTACAAGTAAAAGTTTTAGAATGAAATATCGATTATTAATTTTTTTATAATCGTTAATCGAAATTAACTCCTCGGTTATTCAATCTGTATTTATATATATTTTTTTCTCTCTCCCTGTATCGCATCATCTATGATTTTAAGAACATGTAGAAATTGCTTAGAGGGAAATTAGTCAGGCAAAATTTAAGTAGTAGCAGCATATTATTTCCTCCGTATGCTTCCTAATATTTTTCCAAAAAAAAAACAAAAAAACAAAAAACGATTTTTGTTAACTTAACAGAATTACTTGATTCCTCGGGCTTGAATTAGTCAAATTTAGAAGAAAACTAAGTGTCAAAAATCGCTTGTTATTGCTCCTATAATGACATGGCAGAGGTAGTGTGGTACTTAAACGTGTAAAATGATGGATCCCGTGCAATGAAAACCTCCTAAAAGACAAGAGACGAGAAAAATTAGGGAATAAGTAAACTAAGTGAGATTAGGTGCGGAGAGGGTCGGTGCAAAGGAAAGAATCCAGATTTATCGGCGGGACATGAGACTCCTGGTTAGAGTAAAGCCCGACAAGCCGGGACGGAGTGAGTTATTAGCATGAAATTCATTCAAGAAATTTGAAATAGTTGGTAAATAATGTCGCAGACAGGGTGGGAGCCCCCGCGCTCGGATCGGAGCCGTTAAATTAAAACATCAAAAGAATTTCGCGATCCTCAAACGATCTGTAATTCGGGCCTCCGCTGTCGCCGAATCTTGGAGCGAATTTCTTTTATCGCAACGCAACTAGGGATGAAAGTATTATTTTTCACACTGAAAAAAAGGTACGGGCTGTATAGACATACCGTCTGTTCTGAGTTCAGAGGCTGAAAGTTCCGGGCGCTAGAGCTGTAATTTTGATTGCCCCGCACTGGAAAAAAAAGAATCTTAAATTTGCCGCCAAGAAGTATTTCTTCTTAAATCAAGAATTTTGCTGGTTAATATAAGCTACTTTTTTGCTAAACCCAAGCATATTTTTCTTGAATCAAGAAAAAGTCAGCTTAAAGCAAGACAAAGAAAATTCTTGGCGGCAAATTCAAGAATTATCATGCTTGATCCTAGCTACTTTTTTTTTCAGTGCGGGTGCCGCGGCCGGAACTTTTGGCCTCTGAGCTCGGAACGCGGACGGTGTGTCTATACAGCCTGTAAGTACGGGTTCCACGGCCGAAGATTTTTTTTTTTTTTTTTTTTTTTTTTAGTGCAAAAACTATTGATCCCTCTTATCATCCGGAAAAAAGTATTACGTACTTACTGTGAGCTGCGGTTAGCACTCCAGTGACGTAACCAAATGATGCTCCAGTCATGGGAAGGTGCGAGGTGAGAATGTCCTGAAGTCTGTATAATAATTGTTCTTTTGTTTTTCTGTTTTTTTTTAAGTAGCCGTAGCAATATTTGCGTGCTCCATGTGATCAGAGAAATTGTGAGATTTTAAATTAATCTTTTTACCTGTAAAATTGGAAAATTAATAAAAAAAAGTCTTAACCAAAACTTGACTGAATTTGAAAATAAACCAATAATCGTAAGTCTACGCTGTTTTAAAAAAATGCACTAAATTTTACCCGGAAAAAGAAGCGTTGAAAAATGAGTTATGCACCAAAAATTGTACGGGAATTGCCAATCCATTCGAATCACCTCTCCGTATTAAGTAAACTGATAGTTTTTGTGTGTTCTGAATAAGTGACAGTTACAGCGATACCACTATTCGACCACGTGGGAGCCCACATTAAAAATTGAAGGCAAACTGACATGACGTTAAAGCTACCTCTTCCCGTTTAGAAAAAAAGCTATTTTGTGCGCGCATTCTGGGTAAACGTGCCATTTCACGATAATACCACTATTCGACCTCGTAGGAGCCCGTGTTGCCTACATCAAAAATTGCAGGCGAACTGCCAATCCGTTAAAATCACTTCTCCATAATAGTAGGTGAAAAAGATATTGTTTGTGTGCTTCTCCCATTTTCAGCTCCTATAATACGATAAATTCAGCGGGCTGATTATTTCAATTCATAGTCAAAGTATAGACAACCAAGTAAATCTTTTAAAAAAATGTGGTATTCCGATTTAAATTACTCATTTCAGCTAATCAATAAATTCTCACCTCAGAAAGACTGTTTTTCTTATAAGACACAAAATGTACATCAAAATGACGTGTGAAACTATTCACATGACTTTGACTATTTTGCATGCCTAAAATAAAGAAAAAATTAAATATCTGGATACATGAAGCTAAGGGATAGACATTATTATCCATGTTTGGCAACGATGGCTCGGTGAGAAAGGGGGTGGGGCGTCCCAAATATGCCGCCGCTTAGTTTCGCACCTCGTGATAGTACAGCGCGAAATGAATCGATATCCAGTCGAGAGAATTACCGAGCGTTCGCTTCGCAATTATAAATCCATTCAAAATTTACGCAGTCTAGTCAAGCGCAGAAAAATCCGTCTCCTCGGCCGCAATTATTTAAACGCTGTCCCCGGTTTTAAAAATAAATCAATTTAACACCGCGCGTTTGGGCTCACGCGGTTTTTGGACACCCATTTACGGAGCTCGCATAGACGGAGCTACAGACTATTAAGTCTCCATTACTCACGAGCCAAGGACATGAGACGACGTGTCCATTATATAATTTAAAACTATTTTTAAAAGATTTGCGTTATTTTTACGATGAATTTCAAAAAATGCTTCGTCAAATGTTTTTGAATGGACCATAGTATAGTTATTCTAACATTTTAAAAATAATATCCAAAAATATACGTCTAAACTATTTTCCAGAAATTTTAGAATTAATATTTGTTCGCAACATGATATTTTGCAACATTTGGGGGAAAAATATTCTTCAAATAGTGTAAACTTTAAAACGTCCATGATTACGTAACCATGCTCTAATAAAGAGACTCGACGAAATTCTTGGATCCACTTTAAGTCAGAAAAGCTTAAATCTTTCAGTTGCTTAACCGCATGAATAAACAGGCATTTTTCAGTAAAAGAATGAACGGTGGCATTAGCTATGATGCTATAAGTGATGACAATCTTGTTGAAATGTGCATTAGATTCGGATTTTAAAGTTCCATAGCATGGGGGCCTGCAGGCATGCTACCTTGGATGC